GCTTGGTTTGCTGGTGCCTAGAGCTGGTCCTGTGCAAGGCCTTCTGGTGTTATGTAGGAGAGAAACCCTGAGGACAATCTGTGAGCCATTTGTTTAAGTCTGTCCATGATAATATAATTAGTCAACCTAGACACCAAATTGCCACAAAAGTTTAGAAACAGGAGAAAACTTTCTCTGGCTCTCACAGAGAATATGAATCACCTAGCGAACAAAGTGAGAGAATGTAATGTTTGGTCAATTTGTTATGAGGAATTGAGGCTGTATTCATAAACAGAGAGAAACAATTTTTAGACTGTACAATTCATTATAAAACCTGACAAAGACAGTAATAAATTGGCTACTGATGCTAGGTGAGGGATAAAGAGGTAGAGATATATAGTCCCTTTTAGCCTTTAAAAAGGGATCATTTCAGAATCTAGAGCTGATGCAGCGCATGAGATACTGTTTGTTAATCATGTATCTCACTCTCGGCACGGCACTAGTGCTTTGAGATCTGCACTGGCTGCCTGTTGCTTTCTGGGTATAGTTTAAGGCAGGGGTAGGCAACCTATGGCATGCGCGCCAAAGGCAGCACACGAGCTGATTTTCAGTGGCACTCACACAGCCCGGGTCCTGGCCACCACTCCGGGGGGCTCTACATTTTAATTTAATTTTAAATGAAGCTTCTTAAACGTTTAAAAACCTTATTTACTTTACATACAACAATAGTTTAGTTATATAATATAGACTTATAGAGACCTTCTAAAAATGTTAAAATGTATGACTGGCACGCGAAACCTTAAATTAGAGTGAATAAATGAAGACTTGGCACACCACTTCTGAAAGGTTGCCGACCCTTGGTTTAAGGTGTTAATTCTGAGCTAAAATACTTTGAATGGTTTAGGAACTGCCTACCTGAGAGGCCTCCTCTTTCCCTGTACAACACTGCCATACGAGATCAGAAGATGCACTCAAGAGCTCCTGAAGTATTATTTCGCTAGTGCTTGAAGCATAAACCTCAATTAAATTACCAAACTGTGTGTAAATCATGCTGACTACACCACTGTCATACTTCGGGGTGTGATTCAGATCACTAAGGAGTTGTGTCATATAGCCTGATCTATAGATTATGTATTCATTATATTGATTACTTAAGAATTCCCAGTTAGCACTTTGAGGGTAGACAGATTCTTGTCCCAAGCTCAGGCCCATTATTATTAAAATTACTATATAGTTGGGAACCCCGATGTGCACAGTTGCAACACTCACACTATAGGAACTCTTCTATATTTACAAATAGTTTATTAATATTTTTAGCAAAGTTACAAACAGTCAGACTCGGTAAGGGAGATAGAGAGACTACAGCATGTACATCTGAACATCCATCTACTCAAACCATCCCTTGCAGAACAACCTGAAAAGTTACCAATTGGCTTCCTCATCATCTTCTTCAACATCACCAGTGGGCATTATTCTGGCACCTCCCAAGGGATCTCTCTTCTACTGCCCACACGCTGGGATGCAACATTTATAATATGTGATGCTGATGCCCTGATATCTAATGCATATTCAGTAGGGGTTTTCCTTTTCCTCGTTTGCATTTCTTCATCCTACTAATGTTGAGGTGTCCTTCTTTTATAAGTTAGTATATTAATACATGTAACTACCATTTCAGTTCTTCATCATACTTGTCACCCTTTGTTGAAGCAGATTCACGGTTATTACTTCCATTTTCCTTGTGGTAGCACGTACGGGAACATTCTAACGCCTACCATTGAGCAAGCTCTTCTTAGTTCCCCAAATCTAAAGATAACCCTTAATCTATGGCTATAGCCCCACTCTGGCTTCCACCAGCCTTGGTTACAAGCAGCAAGGTGACCCCAACATACTCCCAGTCCCAGTCCCAGTCCCCTAAACCATGTGCTCTGCAATGTCCAGCCCTTTCCTGGGCCACTCAGAGAAATAATAAGGTTTGTTGCGCCTGTAAAAAGAAAAAAGCACACTACAGCTTACACACTTAACTGGAGTAAACACACCCTTCCCTTCAAACATAGCACTGAGTTAGTTTATAGTATCAATAAAACAAATGTATTAACAATAGGACATAGGTTAAGTGATGTCAAGTAAAAGGAACAAAGTTAGACAGGGTTAAAGCAAATAAAATTGAAAACATACATCTAAAGTCTAAAATTTAATCTTGCAAGATACAGGCTAGGCTTCGTTCAAGATGAGTTCTTTCACCAATTTTCCTTTTTCCCAGCCATGGCTGATTTTCTCTCAGTCAGGACCTGCCACAGAAGCACAAGGAGCTAGTCACCCTTGTCTTCCTAGGCAAAAGATCTTTGCCTAAGCAGGTTTCTCACCTATATTCAGTTTCTAGAGACTTCAACCTCGCCTTGTTTCTCCCTTTGTTTGGACATAGACTGTAAAGCCTAATATCAGTAAGTATCCATAAATTCTTTATATAGTGCTAATACATACATTTTACAATGACATTAATCACCAGTGTGTCATAAGCTTTTATAAAACACTTCATTCGATAAATTTTTATAATACAGTAATATTGTATGCAATCAGTTGATTCCATTTCTTATCACTTGAGGTTCAAACCCCTTGTCTTTATAGCCCAGATAAAGTTTCTCTTTCCTGATGGAAGCTGTCTCCACCCCGACTTGTTAGCAAGATAGCCTTGTTCACCCAATATGTAAATGGACCTTCACTGTCTCTGCCTGATGACCAGACTGGTCAGAGAAGCAAATACACTTTCCTTTATCTAGGGCAGATCTGTTTACCAATTTCCCCTGACATGCCTGGTTTAAACACATTTTAGTCATCATTCCAGCATATATCCATAACTCACACATACATCATGCACGAGCATTAATGATCAGCGAGTTTATTAGTTTTCCAATGACATATTACATGACACCTTTTATATACAGATTATAACCAGAGTGAGTTGGTCAGGACAGCTGAAACCCATTACCTGATACCAGTGAGCCCTTGCCCTCTGGCACTGGGATGCTTTAAGGGTCACACAACCTCAGTTAGTGGGGCTGATATCTTTACCTTATCTTCTGGTTGCTTCCCTTTGCTTACCATCATCTCCTCAGTCTTCTCAAGGATGTAACCTCAGCTAGCTCACATTCATCCATGCTCATATATTGAGAATGAAACTAAACCACACTCTCTGGGTCAGGCAAAATGGATAGATGGAGCTGAGTATTATCAGCATATAGAAAATATGAGATTTCATCCCATGTCTCCTCCCTATTTCCCTCACCCTGCAATGGCCCTATATACTGGAGAGGAGGGATGATATGACGGGGCCTTGTGTGGCACCCTCAGGAGTGAAAAATAATTACCTGAAACTACTCTCTGGGATCGCTCATATGGAGAGAATGAAGCCACCACAAGGCAGTCGGGTCCCCAAGTTAGCTGGCAGTAGTCCATGATCAATGTGTGATAGATCAAGTAATATCAGTATGGACATCTTATCTTCAACTCTTGCCAGAAAATCATTGACCAGTGAAGCTTCAGGTGCTGTAGCCTGTTCTGAAGCCAGACTGACAAGGATTGAGAAGCTCAGAGGCATCTATGTAACCTGCTCCACAATCCTAGCCAGAAATGGAAGATCAGGATGACCTTCCTTAAAGGAGGTCATGACATTCTCCATTAGAAAAGGACTCAGTGTTTCCTCACTAGCCTTCACCAGCCAGGTAGGGCATGAGTCCAAAGCATGGGTTGTGGAATAGAGTCCAGCATGTCAAGAACTTCACAGAGCAGCACCAGCACAGGTTCTAGCATTAACCTAGCAGGGTCCTGCTCTGCTGTCACAGATACAGCAGAGCAGGCCCGGCTTGACAAAGCTTGACCCTTAAGGCCCGGCTTGACAAAGCCCTGGCTGGGATGATTTAGTTGGGAATTGGTCCTGCTTTGAGCAGGGGGTTGGACTAGATGACCTCTTGAGGTCCCTTCCAACCCTGATATTCTATGATTCTATGATTCTATGAGATACCGACAGCTCAGTACGGAGCCTGAGCAAAATTCTCTGCAAAATAGCAAAAGCTGTTTCCTCCCAGAGGGAAGTGCAAAAATGAGTCCCCAGAGGAAAGCAGCCTAGACAGAGTGGGCTATGTGCTATGCAGGTAGATCTGCTGAGGGAGATGGTGGAAGTACTAACATCTCCTTCATCTCCTGCACAACCAAGGGCATAGGAGCTCAGGAAATCCTGGGTCCGGAGCAATAAGGCCATATTACTACATTATTCACCGGTGTGGTTAGTAGCAGCTGCCCTGGGTGCAGCTATCACAGTATTCATTCTCTCACAACCTTCCTGTGGGGTTGTTTCCCACTAGAAATCGGACTCCCCCACGGGTCCAGCTGCCAACGGGCAAGGAGAAGGACTGGTGGTGCGGGTCGGTGAGTAACTGAATGAGTGCAGTGGGTAGGGTGACCAGACAGCAAATGTGAAAAATCGGGAGGGGGTGTGTGGGGGGGTAATAGGAACCTATATAAGAAAAAAATCCCAAAATCGGGACTGTCCCTATAAAATCGGGACATCCGGTCACCCTAGCAGTGGGGTGGGTTCGGCCCCCAAGGCCAGATCCTCAGAGTTATTTGGGTGCCTAAATCCCACTGATTTCAATGGGAGTTAGGTGTGTAAAATATCTTTGAGGTTCTGACCCACAGCGCGCAGTGGCCTATGGGCAGCTGAGTGCTTTCCACAGCTCCCAATACACAGTCTCCCTTTAACTCCAGCAGGCCCGAATCCTTGTGCCTCGCTTTACAGTGCCCCACAAATAGGGGATAAGCCTCTGTACTTCCTCCTTCCCCACAACAGGGGCGGAGTCTGTAGCTCCCCTTCCCCCCAACAGGGGGCGGAGTCTCGGAGCCTCAATGCTTCCCCATCGCCGCTCCCGCTAAGGGGCGGAGTCCCGTTGTTTCTTTCTCAGCCCATCCCTTGCTGAGTGCGTGTGACGTCATCCCGCACCGGGGGGAGGGGGGAAGCGACCCGCAGGTATCTAGTGCTCGGGGGCGGCCGCCATTTTGTTTCTGTGCGGAGGGCGGAGACGGGTTTCGCTCAGCTCCTCGCCTGCCGTAAGTGACGAAGGTGACCTTCCCCCCCATCCCGATCCCTTGTCAGGGGCCGGGGGAGGCCGACGTCGTGGTGGACTCGAGCCGGCGGAGCTCGACGCTGGTCACTTATCGCCTCAGCCAGGGCCGGGGGCTGCCCGAGGTGGGGTCATGGTGGCGGGAAGGGGCCGAAGGGGGATTTCAGAAGGGAGGGGATGATTCTGAGGGGGGTAATGGGGGGTGAAAGAGGAAGGCTCGTGGGAGGTGAGTCGTTTCTGGACAGGCTTCGCTGGGCCCTCACGCGGGTGGCCCTGGCACCTGCCCAGGTTGCAGGTAACCCCCCTGTGAGGCCCCTGCTGGTAGAACAGCCCAGACATACCCACGGCGCGCGCGGAACTGCCAGGGAGACACGCGCCTCGTACCCTGACTATGGATCGGGGCCGGCCAAGGAAGCAGATGGCCGTGGTCCTGCGCACGCTGGGCCATCGGCCCTCACCGCTCTCCATCTAGCGGCCCTTAGCAGGAGCGTCCCAGGTCTCCTTGGCGGTCATGGTAGCTCCCGGGGAGGAGGATGGCCTATGATGGATCTGGGACACAGGCAGTTTCGGGGGTGACTAGATTAGTGTCAGTAGCTGAGATTGCCCTAGGAAGCCGGGGGGCGTTGGAGAAATGCTGCCGTGGTGACCCTGTGGTGTCTGGGCAGCACAAACGTGATGAGCGGGGATGAGTTCGGAGGGTGGAGGTCGCAGGACTTTATCCTGGAGTGCAGCCTGGTGGTGAACAGCTGCAGTGTGCTTTACAGTAGGGCAGGGCCTGGCTGAGCCCTGGCAGAGTGAAGCTGGAGTAACAATGGGCTCCCGCTCAGCTGTTTTTCCAGTTGGCTACTCCATGATTTGGGAGGAGGAACTTGGGAATCTACGTTCCACAGCAGAGAGGTTGTGAGTTCAGCAAACTAAGCAGCAAGGGTCTTCAATTTCATCCCACTCATCTCTTCAGGGTGTAGTAATACCTGGTCTCCCCCAGTGATGGTGTGGGACCCTTGGAATTAGTGGGGTGTTGGGTCTTCCCTTTCCTTGCATGATTGGTCACTGGTTAGTACTGACTGGGTCCCTTTTTGCGTTTAATTTATGTACACTTGATATGCTACGATGGCACAGCTGAACCATTGCAGTACTTTAGCGTAGATGCTGCCTAAACTAATGGGAGGGGTTTTTGATGGCTGTGGGTAATCCACCTCCCTAAGAGGCAGTAGCAAGGTTGATAGAAGAGTTCTTCTGTTGATTTAGCGCTGTCTACATGGGGATTTAGTTCAGTTTCACGACAACTCACGGGGTGTGGATTTTTCACACCCCTGAGTGAAGTCATTAAGCTGACTTAATTTTCTGGTGCACTCCAGGCCTAATAGCTGCCTCACTCTTGCAAGACTGAATTGGTTAGGATGTGATGATAAAAACTGGAAGCCTCATTAATTTGCAGCTGAATGAAGGGAAGAGGAAAATTCCTCATGCCCAAAAGAGAGAAATTGAAGTCCTTGATTATGAGGCGTGGATATAAAGAGGAATGACTTTGGAGTAGGGAGTGGAGGCAAAAGGTGAGGGATGGAGGGATATATGGGGGAATGGCTTCTCCCTGAAAATATAGTCAGCTATGCACTGATTCTGCAAATGCTTATGCATGTGCTTAACTTTACTACCCTGAGTAACTTCATTAAATTCACTGGGACTACTCACAGTAGTAAAGTTAACCACGTTTGCAGGATTTCGTCCGTACTTTTTATACCTTTTGATTCATCCTCTCTTGTAACACCGTGCTTCCTATTCTGTTAAAAACTGGTGATAGAAGTGATTTTTTTTAAAATCTATTTGAAAAAAATTTGGTAGGAAGGATTTTTTACCATTGTCAGAAGTCAAAAAAAGCGAATTGATCTAATTAACAACATTCTGATGCTGTTACTTAGTAATATTCTTTGTATAAACTTCAGAGTTAAGAAATGCTTCCAGGTGTGAAGAGAGACAAGTCAGAATTGCTGATATAACTGTCAATGATCAGTTTCTGAAATGAAAGGTCGTTCACTTGCCTTCTCATTGCAATCTTATTCAAGTATGATGATTCTAGATTTATACTTCAGTTTTAGAATCTCTTAATATACGGTGTGAGTTACTAGCACGCTTTATATATATATAAATATATATGTGTGTGTGTGTGTGTTCCACATTTTAAAATATGTATTCTGAAGACTCCTTTGTATGTACAAATGGACTTTGATTTCCTGATTGTATAGCTATTCCCTAATTTTTTTCTGCTTGTCAGTAGTGCCATGTGCCTGTCTCAACAGTCGCTACATGGAACACTTGACAGCAAAAACTCTGTATCTGCTCCTGCACTTCTTTCTGGTAGAGCAGCCAACTTAAAAAACACCTGCATAGTTCTGTGCTAATGGAGTTTATGAACTGTGGTTGGTATGGATTATAGTATTGCGGTGCTGCATATTTACCTAGGCACTGGGTTCAGGTGCCACAAGTACTCCTGTTCTTTTTGGGTTCAGAATGTGATTCTATAGATAATTCTAAAATCTGACTCCGTGTTACAATTAGATTGGCGAAATAAATCTGTGCAACATCTTAAAACTTATGTTCTGAATTAATATATATACAGTCACTGGTTTATATAGTAGTTACATATAAAATAATGTATAAAGAGCTAATTGTATAAGCTTGGTTATAATGTGGATTTTATTGGAAAAAATGTTTGAAGACTGTTTACTTTTGAGTACCCATGTTAATATACAGCACCAAAAACAGCAGTTACAAGCATACACTAGTTTATGGCATAAAGTTTGAAAATAAACATAACTTGTATAAACTTCAGTTCTGTGTAAATAAATATTTTAAAGAAAATGTACATGTTATCTCAGTCTTTTCCTTTGCACCATACCATTGTCTATTCTCATTCCTGTCTATTCCTCACTCTCCTCAAAAGGACTGACTTAAGGGTTCTCTCACCTTCCTTGTATTAGTGAATTGGAGCCCGGAACAATGAAAAATGGATTCTTTCACTTTATTTTCTCAAGTGAGGAGGTGGTTTTCTTTTCTTCCTCTCCACAAAGCATACTGATATGGATGTGAGGCCCGAAGCTAGCATCTCCACCTAGAGTGCTCCTATGAACCCCTACTGGTCAATGACTAGGAAACCATATTCCATAAAAAACCTGGAGGAGAGGAGGGAGGAGGTGTACTGCTGTTGGCTTTTATGGCGGCATGAGGGATAAATCTGGGCAGTGAAGAAATTCTGTTTAGGACACTGATGATTCAAGGCTGCATTTTGAGTGGCCATGTTGCCCTTGGTGATGTCACAGGTGTGCATGACCTCTGAGTGGTTGTGTCATAGATACCTTTTCTTTTTATGGATGTGGGAGCTAAAGAAACTAACAATATTCTCAACCGAGGAAAAGATGTAAAATGAAAATGAGTTTTCAAGGTAATTGAGTCTCATAGGTTCAGGACTTTAAAGATTATCAGTGCCTTGATATGCATCTGGAAATGAACAGGAAGACTGGAACAAGACTTGCAAAGACTTGAACAAGGGTATAATTTGCTTCTAGTGGTACACCCAATTAAATTGTTGTAAATAATAGCTGTATTTTGAAGCAGCTGGAGCTTCTGGATGGCCTTTATAACAATCTATCCAGATCTTAGAGTAGTCAAGTTTAGAAGTGACAAAGGCAGGATAATTGTCTGTATTAGAGGAAAAAATGAATTGAGCTTCCTGACTCTGTACAATGTAATTACTGCTTCTAGAGAATCCGGCAGCTCCAAGGCCTCTAATAAAAGAATCTGCATATTTAATCCATAATGTGTTCCTAAAAAGATATAATTTGTGCTGCTGCTATCCATTTTTTAGCCATACCTCTGTTCATTGGCAAAGCAAAAATTCCCTGATCCTTCTCATGTAGATTGGTCCCTTATGCAGTTCTTGTTCTAAGAGATTTTCCCAAAATGTCCTCATTGGAATAGTTTTGTTCCATCTTTATTTGAAGACTGCTTTTATTAAGCAAATTATTTTTTTCAGTCACTTGAGTCGTCACTTAAGACAAATGTCAGTGTAATCATAAAATGTAAGCTACTGAGGGAAGATAGACAACTTATCCCTGTTTTATTTTTCCTTGTAACTAAATGTAACAAGTTTAGGGCGAAAAAAGATTTTTGTACATATCCAAGTCTTAAGAAGTCAGGAAAAAGAAAAAACACAGAGCATTTATATAAAACAAGTAAGTTATTTGTGGAAACATTTACTCACTTCTTCCACATTTACTCAACCCTGAGTTTTTTAGGATAACCTGTTTTTCCAGCCCTTACCACACCTTTCCTCATTTTACATTTAGGAGAGTATTCTGTCTTGAAAAAGCAATGAACACTTGCACTTTGTGCTGCCTTCCAAGAATTATTCTCTCTAGATTCTAATTCTCCAAAATAAAATCCCATCACAACCTCTTGAATTGTCGGCAAACACATTTTTTTTTCTGTTTTGTCACTGACTACTTTCTCTTTGGAAGTTTAAACCCCAGTGGAATATCAGACTTGTCCTTGTGGGTTACTTTGACGTGACTGATAGGTTTTTAAATCTTCATTCATCCACACTCTGTCTTCAAAAAAGACTAGACCAGGGGTAGGCAACCTATGGCACACGTGCCAAAGGCAGCACACAAGCTGATTTTTAGTGGCACTCACACCGGTCCGGGGGGGGCTCTGCATTTTAATTTAATTTTAAATGAAGCTGCTTAAACATTTTTAAAACCTTATGTACTTTACATACAACAGTAGTTTAGTTATATATTATAGACTTATAGAAAGAGACCTTCTAAAAACGTTAAAATGTATTACTGGTACGCGAAACCTTCAATTAGAGTGAATGAATGAAGACTCAGCACACCACTTCTGTAAGGTTGCTGATCCCTGGACTAGACACTAAATTAACTTGAAATTGTTACGCTTAATCAAATATCCTGCAAGCGAGGCCCCCCTGCTATATAATGTAGTGTTTCTCTGTGTCACAACTAACAGCCCACCTCTTACTTACTCAGTGTTCCCTTAGCAGTTTGATATTATCTGTAATTTTGTAAATAACACTTTTTAAAAGTCCTTAGTGGTTTGTGTTCCATAGACCTTCCTTAATTTGTATAGTGATGAAAAACATTCTTGAGTTTTTGAAGTGGATTAACTAGGCCAGCAGAAGCTTTCCCGTCAGCGTAGTAGCATCTTCACTAAAACACTATAGCAGCACAGCTGCAGCGCTGTACGTGAAGACAAGCCCTCAGTGTAGGATCGAGGACTTAGTCTGTAACCATTTTTGTGTCATGACAGCACAGAGTCCTAACTACACCGCTACCCCGATATAACGTGACCTGATATAACACGAATTCAGATATAACGCGTTAAAGCAGCGCTCCAGGGGGGCGGGGCTGCGCACTCTGGTGGATCAAAGCAAGTTCAATATAACGCGATTTCACCTATAACGCGGTAAGATTTTTTGGCTCCCAAGGACAGCATTCTATCGGGATAGAGGTGTATATACAACTCTTAGGCTATGTCTGCGCTGCTGTAAGGTTTCCTATATAGCTGCTCAATGCCGGCAGATGAGAGCTCTCCCACTGGTATAATTAAGCCACCCCCAATGAGCGGCGGTAAACTGTGATTTCTGTATCAACTAGCCTGTTGAATCTGGATTAGTCGACTGTATCATTTCTGTGTATACGAAAATATAACCCTTCTTTCCCTTTAAATATTTTTGTGACAGATGCGACATTCAAAACGAAGTCATTGCTCTGAGTGGGATGATAGAAAGAGCTGGGATCAAGGAAAGCACAGTGCTCCCCATAAACGCAAAAAGAGGTCCCACAGCAGTGTACAAGAAAGCAAACCCTATAAATCACATCATCTTGAAGTTTCAGACAGGTAAAAGACTCTTTGGATTACCAATACTGATATCTCTAATTGTAACTAAAATTAATTTAAACCAAAAAATGTTTTGAGCAGACAAGACTGGTAATTCCTTTAGGATTTGGCTCATTATTTGCCAGGTTTAAGAGAGAATTTGTTTTACTGATACAATGATCTAAATTATTTAATTGTGAATCTCTGATACAAAATATTAACATGTAATCTGTTTCTGTGAATACCCACATAGCAAGGATTATATTGAAATACAATACATATTCAATTTCAAATAAAATGTTCCTCATGTATATGAGGATAGGGGAAGGAGGTGAAGGTTTGCTGTCTTAGAACATTTCATAAGAGGGTAAGTATGGGTTAGATTGCTTTCATTCATTGTTCAGGTGTCTTCTCGCTTTTTTTTTCCTTTAAGAGGGGATATAGGTGTTCTGTGTCCTTCCTTTGAGAGAGGAAGACCATATTTTAAAGAGCTCATCAATTTGCTTCTAAAATAGTAGGGGTGGATGTGCAGCAACGTGAGATGCTCTTTTCCTTGCTCTGCAGCTTTCATGGCCCACTGCTTTCTGAGGGGAGAGTCTTAACCTCAAAAATCTCTCTGGTTCTTAGTGTATTAATGCAGAGTACTAATAACAGGAGTAGTTCCCTTTTAGATTTTTCAGGGTGGCAAATTGGTTTTAAGTTTTTGTCTTTTATGCTTGTATGTTTTAAGGACATGGAAGAGGATCATTGGTGTATGCCAAAGAAAGGGTGGGCTTGCACTTTATCTTTGATTTTTGTATGTTTTAAAGAGAGATTGAGTTGTTGGAGTGGAGTTATGCCAGCTATTGAGACAAATATTTCCTATTTGGATCTGGATTTCTTGTTGTACAGGTTATTCTGCTTACACAATTCCAAAGTAAGGTAATATGTTAGACAGATGACTTAACCAGCGCCCTCATATAAACTAGCCTGAAAATCTCTAGATGTTTGCTAGAGGGGGAGATGTTGTAAAGCAGAATTTTGCTGTAAATAAAAATGCCATAAATGTTCAGTTAAGCATTAGCAACTCAAGTAATTTTTCTTGTCAGAACACAAGTATTTTTAAAGTGGAGAAAATTCACTTTAAATGTATTTTCTGTTATTATTTGGATGATAGATCCATAAATGAGAGAGATCATCATGACCGGAGATATGTTGAGGAATACAGAAATGACTTCTGTGAAGTATATGACCACAGGCATTATCACAGAGACGATGAAAAGAGTCACCATCACCACTATAGCAAATCCTCTGGTCGGAGCAGGAAAAGTAGTCATAAAAGGAAGCATAAGAGACATCATTGCTCCAGTCACCATTCACATTCGGTATGAGTAATTTTTAACTTTATTATTAATAAATTAGTTATAGACTTCTTAACTGAATGTTAAAACTTCAATTCCTAAGCCACAGGTACTTTGGACAGATATATTTTATATATAAAGGGTTTATAGCTGAATCTCTTCGCATGCGTGTGTGTGCTGATCCCACACACAGATTCAGCTATGAACCCTTTATATATAAAATATAAGTGTGTGTGTATATATACTTATTAGATGAGAATTTTGGTACGTAGTAAACAGATAATTTTTTCTCTAGTACTATCATTAGTACTATTTTATCCAAGACTTGGTTCCATTGGAAATATCCTTTGGCCAATAGTTAGGTTACTGACATCCTCTAAATTCTGTTCTGAAAATGAATGCAGGCTCCTTTCCTGCTTCCCAATGCAACTGTCACAGTGTGGTCAAACAGCTATTTTACAGCAAGTTTGAGACCCCACTGAACTCCAATACTAAAAAGAATTGAAATATGTACCCTTGTATTTAAATTTAATTGATAAACATGACATGCAACTGATGCCTGTAATGTGTTAAAAGAGAGACACTTCACTTCCATACCTTGCTCCTCGCATAATTTTGATCATTCATATGTCTGACTGATGGCTGTTGAATGTTTTATTGAAGATTGGATAAGCATGCTATCTGAATTTTTTTTTTACTGTGCCCATTTGAATATCTTCAGCTCTAAGTTTTATGATTCTAAGTATTCATACTTCCCCACTCTTTAGTAGAAGCAGAAAAGATGTGTTAGATTATACACTGCAGTTCAAGGGCTTTTTGAGTAAATTTTTCTCTTTTGTTTCTCTGAATATAAAAAGTAATATCGCTTGATAAATTTTTTAATTTCTAAAACCATTATGTTTTAAAACCTTTACTGGTCAGTCAAAGAACTCTCCCCCGGTTAAAAGTCCGTATATATACAATACAATAAAGATTATTTTTTCCTGTTTAATAGCAAGCTATTACTAAATAATGACATTGCAGTCTTAATCTTAGTCTTCACTTAAACCAGTGTTTGAGAGACAATTGTGTTTTTGTTTTCTGTTGCTTTATCACTTGAAGTATTTATCTGAAAATCTGTTCCTTGCCATGTTTTTCTTCTGTAACATAAACTGTGCCCTGTGAATTTCTGGGGACTGAATTTGAAATTGCTCCTGCCAACTGTTCGTGGCCTGGTGCGTAACTGAATGCCTGAATATCTCCCTGCTGAATGAATTGCGTATTCTGCCCTGAATTCACTGTGATATATTGATTGGCTGGACGATCTTGGTGCCGTTTCCAGAAGAGTCACCGAAGGAAAGGATCCAGGAGTGTAGAGGATGATGAGGAGGGTCACCTGGTCTGTGAAAGTGGAGACGTACTAAGAGCAAGATGTATAGAACATTTTTCAACACTTTTTTAAAAAAAAGCTTTTCAGCAGAAAACTCTGTTTAGAATAGTATGTCAGAGAAGGGGGGGCTAAAGAAATCTTCATTGTTCTTTGTTTTTTCTTTTGTGCTTTTTTGTTCTTTTGCATATCTTTTCTGTAGAATTTAAATACTGTTATTCAAAAGTTCCAAAGTAGAATCTGAAGCTTGAGATTAGAACAAGAGATAGTTCTTAGCTAATTGTTTCCATGACACTTGTCCAATAACGTAACATATTCAAATGCTGAGATTTAAGTTTAATTATGCTTTTATAATGGCACATTTTAAAATCTTACATTAATAACATTAATCATTGGTTGAGTTGGTCAGTAATTGTTCTTACTTGTGTGTGTTCTTTTTAGATGAAATTATTGCCACATTAGGGGAAGGGGCATTTGGAAAAGTAGTGGAATGCATTGATCACAATATGTAAGTATGTTAGTCATCTTCTTAAGGGCACTGTCTCAACAAAACCCCTTGGTTGGGATCAGAAATGATAGTCCAAATGTTATATTGCTTTGACAGAAAATATAGATTCAGATAAAATGTAACATGTCATATATTCTGAGAAGGAGTCTTTGGGCTTACCAGTATTGAAGGGACATCACAAACCTGAAATCTAGTCACACTTTAAAAATAAATGTAGTTTCACATACTGGTGCACCTGCTGCTGAGTTTGCCCGTCAATTTTTGTGTGGTTTTTCAATTATATTTTACTATCTTTTAACTGTTTTCTCTATCCCGTTGCTATGCAAAAGACGCACACAGCACTTAAAACATTTGGGAAACAGTGAAATTGTGGTTATACACAAAATGCTGGCCGGTGCACAAAGTAAGCAAACTGAAAAATATATGAAAAAATATTCCTGGTTATGGAATATATCTTTGTTTTTCTGTTTCTTAGACAGCATAAGCTTGTTCTGTGATCACATTTCCCTTGGAAAATGTCTGCTAGCAGAGTGTTTCCTTCAAAAGGGGCCAGTTTATAATATTTAACACTACTTTTAAAAAAGTACAGTACAAACCTCAACTAAACAGCAACTCCTCATTAATTGCCAGGCATAGATAAGTATTATTATCTCTACATCACAGATGGGGAAACTGAAATATAGGTAGCACAGTCCTTCATTTCTTGTGCTCCCACAACTCTTGTTGACTTTTGGGGGTGTTGGGTATGCAAGGGGATGCAGAATTAAACTCAGAGAAATTGCTGTAGATAAGGCCACACAGTGAGTGAGCCAGCATTATTATTGTTGAAGTTACTATTCAAGAGTTTGAGACCGGAGTTTCTAGCTCATAGCAATTTATTCAGTCCACTAGCTCACAGTGGTTTTTCAACATATCCATCAATCCTCTTATGAACACACAATAAGACAATGTCCTTCTTCCTCATAGAATATTATGATGTTTATCAAGGAAATGGCATATTTTTTTGATCAAAACATTCCCCTCCTTCCTTCTGTGTGTATTGGATCATTTCAACAATGTACTTAACGCTGCAGATTAAAGTAATTAACCATGTGTTTCGTATCTCCTGTTCCACTAACATTGTTATTGTTGATTTCTTCATCTCCTTTTGATGGTTAGTTCATGCTGTCATTTGACTAGTCCTTTTCAGGATCTTGGTGTCACATCCTGAATGATTTTTAAATCATTACCATTCAACTAATCAATTGGAGAGACCATATTATCTGAATGAGAGAGAGAGGGTGAATTGCTTGGATCCGTGCTCAGTTTTAAGAAAGACAACATTACATTTAGGGCTGTCGATTAATTGCAGTTAACTTACGCGATTAATTGTGATTTAAAAATTAATCACAATCACAGTTTTAATTGCAATGTTAAATAGAATACTAATTGAAATTTATTAAATATTTTTGGATGTTTTTCTACATTTTCAAATATATTGGTTTAAATTACAACGCAGAATACAAATGCAGTGCTCGTTTATTTTTATTACAAAGATTTGCACTGTAAAAATGATAAACAAAAGAAATAGTATTTTTCAGTTCACCTCAGACAAGTACCGTAATGCAATCTCTTTATCATGAAAGTGCAACTTAAAAATGTAGATTTTTTTGTTTGTTTGTTTTGTTACATAGTTGCACTCAAACACAAAACAGTGTCAAGTCCACTCAGTCCTACTTCTTATTCAGCCAATCACTCAGACAAACAAGATTGGTTACATTTGCAGGAAATACTGCTGTCCGTTTGTTTACGTCATCTGAAAGTGAGAACAGGCATTCGCATAGCATTTTTGTAGCCGGCAATGCAAGGTATTTATGTGCCAGATATGCTAAATATTCGTATGCCCCTTCATGCTTTGGCCACCATTCCAGAGTACATGCTTCCATTCTGATGACGCTTGTTTTTAAAAAAAAAAATAAAAAAAAATCAAATTGTGACTGAACTTTTTGGGGGAGAATAGTATGTATTCTGCTCTGTTTTACCTGCGTTGTGCCATATATTTCATGTTATAGCAGTCTCGGATCGATAACCCAGCACATGTTGTTCATGTTAAGAACTTTCACTGCTGATTTGACAAAAAGCAAAGAAGGTACCAATATGAGATTTCTAAAGATAGCTACAGCACTCAACCCAAGGTTTAAGAATCTGAAGTGCCTTCCAAAATCTGAGAGGGATGAGGTGTGGAGCATGCTTTCAGAAATCTTAAAAGAGCAACACTCTGATGCGGAAACTACAGAACCCGAACCACCAAAAAAGAAAATCCAACCTTCTGCTGGGGGCATTTGACTCAGATGGTGAAAGTGAACATGCGTCGATATGCATTGCTTTGGATTGTTACCGAGCAGAACCCGTTCTCAGCATGGAAGCGTGTCCTTTGGCATGGCGGTTGAAGATGAAGGGACATATGAATCTTTAGCACATCTGGCACATAAATATTTTGCGACGCCGGCTACAATGGTGCCATGCAAACGTCTGTTCTCACTTTTAGGTGATGTAAACAACAAGAGGGCAGCATTATCTCCTGCAAATGTAACCAAACTTGTTTGTTTGGGTGCTTGGCTGAAGTAGGACTGGCTTGTAGGCTCTGAAGTTTTACATTTTTATTTTTGAATGCAGTTATGTAACAAAAAAAAAATCTACATTTGTAAGTTGCAGTTTCATGATAGAGACTGCATTACAGTACTTGTATGAGGTGAATTGAAAAATACTATCTTTGTTTTTTACAGCACAAATATTTGTAATCAAAAATAAAGTGAGCATGTTACACTGTGTTCTGTGTTGTATTTGAAATCAATATATTTTAAAAGGTAGAAAACATCCAAAATATTTTAATAAATGATATTCAATTATCGTTTAACAGTGCAATTAATCACGGTTAATTTTTTTCATCGCTTGACAGCCCTAATTAGTATTAACATTATAAAACAAAAAACATGCAGATTTATCAAATTATAATAGTGGGAAACATGCCTTTAATCTAAAAGTAAGCTAATTCTTATACCTTATCAAAGTTAATTTTCACTGCTGCCAGCTGGGACATTCGAAAACAGCAAGAACAATGTGCTGTATATTGCAGAGAAACTTTTTTGCAGTACTCTCCCCTCTTTGGAAATGAAGACCCTTGTTCAATATTTTTGTCACCGTGAGACTAGACTACTGTAACACGTGCTGCTTGAGGGGAGATCTTGAGGCCATCTGGAAACTGAGGCTAGTGTAAAACCTAGCTTCTTGCTGATTAACCAGAGCTCCTGTTAAAAACCATATAATGCTTGTCCTGCCTTCAAGTGCTAAAATTAAATGCCCAAAAACGAATCTGCAATTCTCAGGTGTCCACAATCTTCCAGTGTCCCTGGTGGTCAGGGTGTATTTGAATTTTAGATGTTTGTTTGAGAACTAATATAGTTGATCTTTTTTTCGAAGGAGAGGAATGCATGTAGCAGTTAAAATTGTGAAAAATGTTAGTAGATACCGTGAAGCAGCCCGTTCAGAAATACAGGTATTGGAGTATTTAAACACCATGGATCCCAGCAGCACGTTGTAAGTATAAACATGGAATATAAGCCAAAGAGTTAAGGATTTGCAAAATGAGCCACATATGAGTTGAGTATTCACTTTACTTTCTTTTCTTTTTTAAAGCCGCTGTGTCCAGATGCTGGAATGGTTTGATCATCATGGTCATGTTTGCATTGTGTTTGAGCTGCTGGGACTTAGTACCTATGACTTTATTAAAGAAAACAGCTTTTTGCCATTTCGTATTGGTGACATTAGACAGATGGCATATCAGATTTGCCAGTCTATAAATTGTAAGTAAACTTAGTGTTTTCATGAATATCTGCATGCATATCTAAAAAAAATTTAGAAATATATAGTGTGTGTGTGTGTGTGTGTGTATATATATATATATATATATATATAT